AAATAGCAAAAAAAAAAAAAAAGTAGAAGAGTAAAGAGTATGCAAGGTTAGAAGTACTTAGGTAGTTATACAGTTCGTAAGGAACAGTGAGTCCTCCCCAACTTCAACAACAGGGACACAGTGAACAGATGATGAAACCACCAGAGTTTGGCAGGAAATTTTAGTTTTCTGTACTTCACTAAACAACACCTTAGGAGCAACACTGGACTACACTTAATATTTTTAACACTGCAGGTAGTATTTTGTGTTACTTTTCATGACTTATCAATGGCTTATTGTTTAATATGCATTTATTGTGTTTCCTTCCATAAAACTTAAAGAAAAAAAAGGAGGCCGATGGGAAAATCAGCTACACATTAAGCCAAAGCCCAAGTGCAGCCACATTAGTGAAACAAAGTTGGTCTCCCGTGGAAGTCAATGTCATGAGTGAAATAAAATGCAGGTTGATATTGACAAAGCCACTGGGAAAGTAAGAATTTTACACTGATGAAAAGGGTACTTGCTATAACATATTAAAGTTTTTCTATTTTATTCTCTCAATATTGAGGTGACAATATGAAACAAAGAAAAATAAAAATATAGAAAAATGTTAAATTGTTACCACTTTAATGTAGAAACAATCCTAAAGAATTTACAGCATAAATAATAAGGTAGGCCAGTATGCTATGAATCTAAATTTATGCTTTGAAATTATAATGAATAGCAATTAATGGTGAAAAGTTTTGGAGTAATGATGGAATATACTGATTTGTAATGGATTAGGCTTTTGGATATTTTAGACAGCAAAAGCTAGGGAAAGGGGAACATGTTTACATCTAAATAGAATGAGATGCCATTGCCTAAATTAATAATGCAAACTTGAAAAATAGCCCCAGGTTCAAAAGACCAATTATAAAATTCTTTTGTAAACAAATCTATATTCACATTTTTCATGAATAATTATAACTACAAGTATTTCTCCACTAATGTTCAATTTATAAAATGAAAAATATATTTTCAAATGAAATTTAAATAATATTTCAGCTTCTAATAATGGTAACTTACCTGCAAATAAGTGTTAATAATGACAAAGATACGAATACTCTACAGGAATAATTTTTATCTATTTATACTATGCAAATAAAAATCTAAATGGTAAAAAGTTATTTGAATATTTTGAGCAATATTTTGGAAAGATACCAATCAAATAAATATGAAAATAAAAAAAAATAAATTTCTTCTTAGGACATATGTGAGCATCTTAAAGATATATTAAACATATGGAAATCATATATACTCAAATTTATTTATGCTGTGAAAGAAGCATTTCTTTTGTTTATATGAGGTAAATATGTTAAGTATCCTGTCCTTCCTCTTGTCTGCAAACAAAACAATTTCTTTGAATGTATCTGTTTATTTTTAATGTTTTTTCTCATCAACAAGAAAATAAAGGTATCTGTTCTAATTTCCACATTTCATTCATAGTCCATAATTTTAGAAGTATTCTTATATTTGCAAATTTTTTGTACTACTGTTCAAGGTTAAATTACCCTTTGTTCACTGGTAAAAGCAAACCTACCCATCTGTACACAGAATGGTAAAAATGTGGATGAACAGAAAGTTCAAACTATTTGCTTTCAATAATCAAATTATTTAAAAGTTTTAAAGATAAAAATCACACTTTTATAAGGGACATTAAGGACTTCAAAAGGAAATTTGACAGATATCACTGGATTTAAATGTCGTAAGTATTAATTCATAACTATTAATAATTCGTAAGTATTATGTCGTAAGCACAGTAACAATATACTCAGAATGCCCCATCTCCTTTTTAAGGCAGTACCTGAGAGGTACCACAGGGATGGATCCAGCTGGCTCCAAGGCAGTACTCAACAGAAGTGATGCTATTTCAGGGAGGTAACTTGAACAGGGGACAAGTAATACAACCTTAACCTTAGCAAAAAGTACAACGTACTTTCAAAGCAAGAAACCTGAAATACTCTGAGGTATGTTTATGCATATAAAGAGTATTTCAAAGCATAGTACTGATCAGAGGGGGTGGGAATCAACCTTTGTAGTAAGACTATCAAAAGCCTTAAATCTCACTTCTAAAACTTTATTCTTAAAAAAAAATCATGAATATACGCAAAGATTTATGCACAAACATTTTCAGAATAAAAACCTGAAAATGGCCTAATTGCCCCACAACGTAATAAATTGATTATTGTTAATCCATGTAACCCAAGGCCACGCATGTATTAAAATTATATTGCAGAAGAGTGGTTTTCAAAGTAGGCATTCTAAAACTATAAAGTATATCAGCAATTATCTACTAATTGATTATGGATTTCATATATTTTAACTACTTCAAAAAATGTTTAAAAAAATTCACCTTGCCATGTAGTATAAATAAAATTTTAACACACTAAATACCTCTGGGACATTGAAACTCTTACATTAACCCATGGAACAGTATCCTGAGATTCTAAGTTGAAGTAAGACCTACAGCCATGCTAAAACATTCACCAGGGGTGACAGTAAAAACAGGGTTACGGCTCATCACGTGACGCCATCGTGCAAGGCTGCGGCTAAGTGACTTCAATGTAGTTCTTATTTAATATTCACCCTGATCCTCTGAGGTCACTCCATTAATAATGCATATATCACAAATGAGAAAGTGGCATTTCAGTCAATAGCTTCACTCTTAGTCAATGGTTTGGCTCGGGTCACACGGTTAACGAGTGCTGAGCCCAGATCCCTTGCCAAGCCTGTGCGCCTTGCCACGCCCTCGTGCTGTGTGCGCACACCAAAATGAAGACAGAAGCTGGATGCTGAAGCTGATTAGCCACTGCTATCAATAACCGCCCCCATTTTAAAAGTTTTTGCTCGTCACAACATTCTTATTATGCTATTGTTAATGTTGTAATAGGTAAATATTATAGACATTATGAAATCTAATTGTAAGTGGTAACTACCACTTCTAACTTTTATATGTGGAGTTTTATATATAACCTTGGTTGAAATAACAGTTCTGCTACTTAAAAACAGAAGTTTGAAAATCAGTTATATAGAAGAATGATTATTGACATGGAAAGGTAGTTGCAATTTGTTGAGTATAAAAAATAAAATTTATAATGAGACAAAAAAAAATTCTGCGAGCAATAAAAATAAAAACTTCATGCATAGAGTACAGACTGAAAAAAAGATAATCCTAAAAGCCAAGTGTGATAATTAGAGAAAATTTCTATAATTTTCTCATTATTTTTCTGTGTTTTACAGGAAAGGCAACTGTGGTATGATCCTTTTAATAAGGAAAATGCGGATTCAATACTATTTATTTTTTTAAAGAACCTCTATTATCAGCATCTTAGAATTTCTATCCCTACCTCTAATTGAATCACCATTTTACCAAATTTCCAAGAAACACAAATTCTGTGTTAAGCAAAGATAGAACACATAAAACGTTGAATGAATAATTAATGAATGAAATATATCTGTAATATCTCTGTACTATTCGATGACCTTTCACATAAAACTTAATGCAATAATGTGGGTGATAATAGAGATTATGGCAATATATTTGCTGAATGCACAGGCTAGATCCAAAGAAATACAAAAAATCTACTTTTTAAAGAAGGCTTTGGGCCGGGTACAGTGGCTAACTATGCCTGTAATCCTATCACTCTGGGAGGCTGAGGTGTGAGGATCCCTTGAGGTCAGGAGTTCAAGACCAGCCTGAGTAAGAGCGAGACCCTGTCTTTACTAAAAATGGAAAAAAAAATTAGCTGGGCATGGTGGTGAGCACCTATAGTCCCAGCTACCCTGGAGGCTGAGGCAGGAGAATCACTTGAGCCCGGGAGTTTGAGGTTGCTGCGAGCTAAGCTGACCTCATGGCACTCCAGCCCAGGTGACAAAGTAAGACTCTGTCTCAAAAAAAAAAAAGGCTTCAGATGTAACATACATATTCTAATATTCAATAGTGGGTGGCATTTAAGGACACCCCCTCAATGTTCTCATGGCATCATGTGTAGCAGGGACAATGGGGAGCTTCGGCTCCGGAATGAAGAAGGCTCTCACTCTCGAGTTCAGGCCTGCTAAGACAGACGTCCCTCAGCTGCCTGAAAACTCTGGTGTCATCACCTCCTCATCCATTTAAAATACACACTCAGTCCTTGAAATAACTTTACCACCTTCTACGCTGTAACTGAGGTGCTGTCTCCTCTGTGAGAACTGCATCCGGGATCAACACGGTCCTTCCCTATGCACTTCCCTGGCCTCTTCATTGATCCATTCAAACATGTATTATATTTATGAATAGTCACCTATTATGGTATAATATCCTTACGGGAAGGAAATATTTCTTGTATCATCTTCACTGTCTAAATCAGAGCTTCACTCATAGTAGATGAGATAACAGATATGGGGTTGAATAATGGATTAACTGGAATAGTTCCTTACTTTGAGCAACACAATAAAATCAATGGAAATTCAGGGGTAACAAAAAATTATAAAACCTAAATATTAAGATTATAAAAAATGGAAAAGAACTTTATATTTTTTAAACAGTGACTCAACTATGTATGATACTATAATGGTAGATACATGTCCTTATAAATTTGTCCAAGCCCACAAACTGGACATCCAGAGTGAATCTTAACTTTGGACTCTGGGTGGTAATGATGTCAACGAAGGTTCATCAACTGTAATAAACGTTCCACTCCGTGGGGGAATACTGACGATGGGGGAGGCCAGGCGTGGGTGAGGGCAGGGGAGATGTGGGAAATTTCTCTACCATCCTCTCAATTTTATTGTGAACCTAAACCTGCTCTAAAAAACAAAGTTTACTTAAAAGGAGTCACTAAAATTAGGGATGAAAATAAACTTCCAACCTAATACATAAATCATGCTTGAAAGTATGCTGATTCATGTTGATCAGAAAAGCTACACCCCTTTGGTGATTTAACAGGATTTAGTCTGTCATGCAGCCCACTGATGTCACTCACTGCCCAGGGCGTCCTTACCTGTAGTCACACCAGGGGCAGCGATAGGGCTTCTCTCCAGTGTGCACACGTTTGTGCCGCGTCAGGTGGGACTGCGTTGTAGAGGCAAAGTTACACTCGTCACATTTGAAAGGTTTTTCTCCTGCAATATACCAAGAAATGCTATATATGAATAATAACAGCAACTGGAAATGAAGGGCTAACCCAGGTACTGACACTTTTAGAAAGCTTAGTACCATGAAATGGGAAGCATACAGTTCAACAGACTCCACACATTTAGAATATTTGAATATTTATTCCGAGTGAGAAAATTGGAAGATAATCATCAATTTTTATTTCTATTTTAGAATATAAGCATGGTATAAGTAATACAGTTAAAATATATTTTACACAAATAGGAACCTAAATTATAGGTATGGCTTACCACAGTATTTAGAATGATTTAACTTTGTTACATTAGAACCATTAAAAAAAACCCAGTGAGATTAAAACCATGGGAAGACATACAACAGAGATACACTTTGAACATATAATATAAAACTTATTAAAACCTTAATGCTAAATATGAAGAAAAATAAAGTCAAGCTATAAATAGATACTACTTAAAAAGTGTTAGAAATAAAAAACAATTACAGTTCATTAAGTTGAGTAGCAGGTACAGAGGCCTCAAGAAACATGTAAACACGTGACGCCATATTAAAGTACCCTGGCACTGCGCAGATACAAGGGGTGGGGCAGAGCGCGCGAGGGAGAGGATGGGTGCTCCGCGCAGTGCCTGGCAACGGGAAATGTTCTGAGAAATGGGTCCTTGGGTGATTTCATCTCGTGTGAACACCCTGGAGTGCACGTCCACAAACCTAGCCTGCACAGCCTGCTACACACCCGCGCCGTATGGCATGGTGAACCTACTGCTACTGGGCTACCAACTAGCAGGGGTCCTCAAACTTTTTAAACGGGGAAAAGTTCACTGTCCCTCAGACCGTGGGAGAGTGCGGGGCACATTCCACGCATGTGCACTGTGGGCCCGGGACGAGCCGGCTGCTAAGCAGGACAGGCAGTGGTGGCAAAAACACCCAGCGGGCGGGATAAATGTTCTTGGCAGGCCGCATGTGGCCCACGGGCCATAGTTTGAGGATGCCTGCTGTATAGCACGTCGCTATTCTGAATACCCCAGGCAACTGGCAACCCAATGGCAGGCTTGTGTATCTACACATAGCAGAGGTGCAGTAAAAATACAGAATTATGATTCTATAGGACCACCACTACATGTGCAATCTGTCATGGACTACAGTATCCTTCATCACGTGGTGCACGACTATGTGTGCATATACACGTATTTATAACATGTCACCATTTTATCCCAGAGTTCAGTGGCTTGCATAGGACATAAAGATAGTGAAGTAGTGTGCTGGTAACTTGAACAAAGTATTTAGTTCATCTGACACTTTTTTCTCCCTTAATCACCTTGCCCATACCCATACACAGATACACACGTTCAAAGAATCATCAAATCTTATCAGTTCTTTTTTTTTTTATTTATTTATTTTTTAAAGACAGGGTCTCGCTCTTGCTCAGGCTGGTCTCGAACACCTTAGCTCAAGCAATCCTCCTGCCTCGGCTCCCAGAGTGCTGGGATTACAGGAGTGAACGATGCCCAGCTCTTATCAGTTCTTAATTCCACTAGCTACTTTAGCTGGTGAGCACTTGCAACATGACTATTTAATTTTAATTAATGTAAATTTAAATTTAAAAACTGATACTCAACTCAGCTATTGAAAAAAAATGTTTAAATATGGTTAGAACAGCTTGGGAATGTGAATCCTACTTTTTGAAGTGTAAGTTTTATCAAATCTAAATATAGATTATGTTTTTCGGATGAAAATTTTGTCTCTGAATTGAGATATTCTACAATTGTAAAATATATACCAAATTTCAAAATCCTAGTATAAAAATATAATACTGTAAATAATGTTATATTGATTTCAAGTAGAATTAATAGTTTATAAATATTTAGTTAAATTAACTATACTATAAAAAATGATTTCCCCTGTTACTTTTTCTGTTTTCTTCAATATGGCTACCAGGAGACATAAAATTATACATGTAGAGCTCACATTACATTTGTACCAGACAACAGTGATCTAGAGGAAAGCTACCTCCCCAATCCCCCCCAAAACAATTAATATATAGTAATATTTTTTTCAGACTATTATCCTGATAAACTTTACATATATGATGGATTAATTTTATATATGTTCAATAATTCTTGCTATTTATTACTTTCCATGTTTTTCTGACAGCTTTATGAGACTTATTTAGAAAATGAAGAATGAAATATGTTATTTTAAAATTACTCTACATCAATTTGGGTATCAACAAAACTACATCTGTCCTGAAAATTAGGATGTTTAAAAATTTGCCCTCCATTCTCTCGGTTTATTTACGCTACCTACCCCAACTGCAGTAACATTTAACTAAAGGCACACACGTCTCCTCTGGGGGTATTTTGTCCCTCGTTGCAGCAGAGTAGTGTACTTAGATGAAGCCAGGTGGACTTCAATTCCAGTCCCAACTTTGCTGTATTTCACTTGCTACCTGTTAGACCCCTTGAGCAAGATCAAGAGGATAATACCACCAAACATGCAGGGTAATTGTGAGGATTAAAGATGACAAAAAATATGGAAAGAGCACACTTAGCACAGAGTGCTCAATAACCAGTTGCTTTTATCATTATTGTGACAGAGCTGCCTAAACACTGGTAATTGTAAACAAGTCTCTCGCAAAGATGAAAGACGAAGCACACAAGCTGTTCTCATCAAGAGCTCACAACCAGTAAAAAGATAAACAGCTAGCATATAGAAATAATTAATGGTTTTGCATGGTTAGCGAATATGACATAAAGATATCATTTAACAGATCCTGCCAGGAAATATTTTTATTTGATTTGTTCTTATTAAAAAAAACCCCCACTATATACAAAACAGAGTAAAAATCTGAATTGAAAGGGATTTTTGTCTCTTTTAGCCATTTGTCCTGAGGACAAAATCCATCTATAGCAGCCCAATCAAGTGGTCACCCAAGGTCCTCTTGAATAACCCTTTGTTCTCAGTTTCTAAACCTCTGGTCAAGTAACTTAAATTGTACAGATAACTCGATTGTAATGAATTGACCTATACAAAATTTCACTTTCATGATCATGACAGATTTAGGCTTTAATTTAGGGATGATATATGATATTGATATTGTGTAAGACTAAAGGAAAATAGTTCAATCTCAACTTTGACATAGGAATATTCTATAACATAGAAACATATAAACATCCACAAATAAGCATATCTGAAAATGTTTGCTACATTATAAGAACTGAATTTGTTCATTTAATTCAATGAATAGTAACTGCACAACAATGTCAAAGTGCAGTTCACATGAAAAGCAGAAATACAAAGGGAACACTGGTCTGGATAAAATCACACACATTATTATTTTAATAACCTGAAATATATCTGTCTAGATTAACCATATGTGGTAGATTGTATAAAGCATTTTAACAGATTCAATGAGGTATAACTGACACACAAAAACTTTCCATAGTTATAATGTGCCATTTGGTAACTTTTGTTATTAATGAAACTACTAGCATAATCAATATAATGAACACAACCACCAACCACAAAGGATTCCTTATAACCCCCACCCCATTCATCCCATCCCCAAGCCACCACACATATCCTTTCTGCCAGTGTACATTAGTCAGCATTTTCTAGATATTTATATACATGGACACATACGGTACGTACTCTCTTTGATCTGGCCTCTTTCTTTTAGCATAATTATTTTGTGACTCATCCATGTTGCTACAGTATGAATACCTTATTCTCATTGCTGAATAGAATTCCATTATATGGATTTGCCAAGTTTGCTTATCCATTTATCCAAGGAAATGTATGGCTAGTACAACAAACATAATAAATCTGCTATGAACCTTCAGATGCAAGTCATTGCACGGACACATACGTCCTTACATCTTGGGTAAATACCCTGGAGTGGGATGACTGGGTAATAGAGTGGGTACATATTTCACTTTGTGAGAAACTGCCAAACTGTTTTACAAAGAGGTTTGACCATTATACATTCCCGTCAGCTGTGTACAAAAGTTCCAGTTGCTCCAAATCCGAAGCAACACTTGCTACAGACAGTGCTTTAAATTCACATTTCTCTAAGGATGTTGAAGATCTTTTCATGTGCTTATCTTCCATACATGTATATTCTTTCAGGAAGTATCTGCTCAAACCTTTGATCCTTTTTTAATTGGTTGGTTGTTTTCTCAGGATTGTGTTTTGAGAGTTCATTACATATTATGGATGCAAATCCTTTACAAGACTTGTGGCTTAAATATCCTTTCTCTCAGTCTGTGACTGCCTTTTCATTCTCTTCATAGTATCTTTTGAAGAAAAGACATTACTTTATCAAGTTTTCATCTTACAAATTTTCAAGTTATCATTTTTTCTTTTATGGATCAGGCTATTGATGTCCAAAGAAATTTTTGATAATCCAAGATCACAAAGATTTTTCACCTTTTTAATAGAATGTTTATAGTTTTAAGTTTTACATTTACATTATGATAATATTGAGTTGATTTTTGTATAAGGTTAGAAGTATGGATCAAAATTCATTTTTATTGCATATGGACATTCAACTGTTCCAACAGTGTGATTTGAAAAGACTAAATTGCCTTTTCTCCTTTGTCAAAAACCAACTGACCATGTAGGTACAGGTCTATGTCTGTAATCTCTATCCTGTTCCATTGCTATATTTGTCCATCTTGATGCAAATACAAGAATGATTTGGTTACTGTGGCTTTATAATAAATCTTGAAGTCAAATACTCTAAATCCTCCAAATTTGGTCATTTTTCTCAATGTTCTTTGACTATTTCAGACCTTTACATTTCAATATAGATTTTAAAATCAGTATATCAATTTCTTAAAATAATAGACTGGTGGGATTTAGACTGATCAATGTGGGAGGAATTGAAGTCTTAACAATATTAACTCTTTTGAACTATAAACATGTTGTATCACTCTATTTAGGTCTTTCTTAATTTCTTTCAGTAGTGTTTTGAAGTTCTCATGGTAGATATTCTGCATATCCTGTTAGATTTATCTCTAAATATGGTGTATTGTTTGAAAACAATTGACAAATATATGCACAGGTCTATATTAGGACTCTTTTCTGCTCAATTGATCCTATTTATCCATCTTTATGCCAGCACAATATTGTCATGATCATGGTAGCTATAAGTCTTCAAGTTGGCCGGCATGGTGGCTCATACCTATAGTCCCAGCACTTTGGAGGCTGAGGTAGGCGGGTTTGCCTGAGGCCAGGAGTTTGAGATCAGTCTGAGCAACACAGTGAGAACCCTGTCGCTACAAAAGTACAAAAAAAAAAAAAAATTAGCCAGGTATGGTGGCACACACCTTTAGTCCCAGATACTTGGGAGGCTGAGGCAGGAAGATTGCTTGAGCCGAGGAGTTTGAGGTTGCAGTGAGCTATGATCGCAGTGAGCTATGATCATACCATTACACTCTAGCCTGGATGACAACAAGACCCTATCTCAAAACAACAACAACAACAACAAAAACTAAGTGGCCAAGCAATTCAAACATTTTGTTCATTATGCAAATTGACAAATGTATTCTGTCGTCTCCTTATTCCATTCAACCTAAATGTTTGGAAAATGTTTTGGCATCATAACTTACCTCTACTTTGTTTATTGTAATAGCCGTGGTAGACACTTTAAAGCTATCCATTCTTCATGGATTTGGCAGGTGTCTGAAGGGAGGTGAAAGGGGAACATCACAGACCCCACTGCCTACATTGGTCATATAAATTAAAGATCATCGAAAATCCCAAAGTCGATTTTCTTGATTTGGTAGTTTAACATAAGCTCTTTAAAAAATGTGTTTAATGTAGCTTATTTCATTTACACTTTTGTGGCATTTTTATGTATCACAATGTGAACTTAAACACAATACTTTTAAAGAATAATGCCATTTATATTCTCTATAATTTACATTAAGTATTATAGAAAATTATAAACTGTCATTTTATATTTATCTTGACCACACTATAGATAAAATTATGAAATATTAAGAAATATTGAATTGTGTACTGACAAGGACAAACACAACGCTACAAAAATATTATGTGCTACATAAAATACTATGCTAAGGAAGGCTCACACATGTCTGGGTTCTTGACAGGGTAAGAACCCCATGTCAATTTATACAAACTACAATTTATTCAAATCTGTAATTAATAGTTAATTTGCAACTCATCAATTTTGTTACATGTTCAACATGTTAAACATTGCTCTAATATGTAATTAGGTAATTTTTTTGGTCATTTATGGGTAATTTATTCAGGAAAATAAACTGCAGAAATATAGAAGGAGTTTTGTCTTTGTTTATCTCAATATGTTATCAAAAATATAAACCCAACATCTAGACTGTAAAATTTGAAAGAAAATCTTACAAATTTGAAACAAGAATTTCACTTTGGTAAATATTTAATGGCTTGAAGTGAGACACCTACTACATGAAGAGGTGTGCACATTGCTATGGAATGGTCAAACAGGTTTGGTGCATACTGGAACCAGGGCCTCTCAATCCTTTGTCATTGCAAAGCCAGAGGATGACTAAACCTATGAGTAAGAAATTTACTACTCCCAAACGACATAATCTGTAAATCAACAGGGCTACCCATATACACCGAAAAAAACAAAACAAAACAAAACAAAACAAAAACAGAACAAGAGTGAAATTTCCTTTCCTTCTATTTTTCTCTTACATGACATAACAGTTCATATTCATTTAAATTGTGTTGCTTTTTACACTTTCCTTTACAAGCAATAATCTTAGCCAAAATAACCATTAAGGAACATTTTACTTGTTAGGCAACACTGATAGAAAGTAAAAGGAGGACAGAGGAGAGACACTAGAATGGCTGTCAACATAGCACAGTGTCCTTTTGTGTGTCAACCATCTGTCAGACAGGCTGACCACGTCTCATGGAAACACTTCGCATTCCTTTGGGCAGGCTGGTGGTTATTAAGCTGGCCAAGACTCTTCAACTCCATGTGAGGATTTGCTCCTGTGCCCTTGAATCAAGGGTCTCTGACAGGTGATAAAAGTAAATCTTAGAATGGAAGATGTTTTGTGCCAGCCCCCTGGACAGTCTGTATTGCAGTGGGGAATTATTTACGCCATTTGGAACACTTTTGATACCTATCCCTTTCCAAGCTGATTGTAATTTGCGTGGGTGCTGTGTGCTAAAAAGGTAAACCATGTCAAAGAGGAATACATCAGAGAAATACGGATTTCAAATGCACCATACAAGTCTGGCCTTGGGGGAAAAGAAAGCTGTGTGTTGCTTAAATATTTTAAATCCAGCATAAAAGCTAAGTGCCTAGACTGAGTTGTACTAAGCTGTTTTGTTGAAGCAAACAGTCTTAAGAACTGACTTTGGTATTAAAGAATCATGTTTGATTTGTGCCACAGAGGCAGATAAATGCCAAAAAGACAAATACCTCCGTCTGTGAGACATTGTCCTATATGGTATAAAGTTAATAGCAAAGTAATAAGGAGCCTCTGGACCTGACATAAAATATAAAGTTGTGCCAGCTCAATGCAGGCTTCCTGATCGATCTACCACCTGGAACGCCTACGACCACAGCATCGCCGCCACGCTGCAGTGGGGAGAGGGGTCCAGCCCGCTGGCAGGAGTCGCACGGAAGGGGAGTCTGTTACTCCCCAGGGCCACCCCAGCTGGGACAAAGTGAGCTACAGTGATGTTTAGACAGTAACAGTCTGAGCACCAGTAAACTGAAAACATTAAAAAAGTCCTCGTGAGCACACCATTACCGTAAATATCTCCAACTTCTCCATGACAGCGGTCAGAACGACTGCCATCAACTGGGTCCCTCCTGTCATCTATTACAGGGAATCCTTAACTCAGTAGATTAAAAAAGTATGAATAGGTGGCTTCTATAAATTTAAAATGGAGTTTTATGTTTTAATGTTAAGTTTATGCTTCCAACATTATGCTAAACATTGGAAGTTTCCCTTTGACTAAATAATAACTCTTATCCCTTATGAAAATTTCAATAATATATACTCAAGATCTAAGAGGAATGGCTAGGTATTAATTTTCATTGATTAATTTTCATTGCAAATACCATACTGGGCATTGATGTTACCTGTACCTACCTGTTAAACATAATATATCAAGAATCATAATGTACCATAAGTAATACATTTTATGTACTTTAATTTCCTGCCATTTTGAGTATGACTACCAAACTCAAACATAATGATGGACTCAAAGAAAAGTCCCATTAGTTATGAGTTTTCTTACCATGTGAACTACCATCCAAACTAGGACACATTTGATAGTAAAAAGTGGTTTTACTAATAATTGCAAGAAACAATTGCTATAAAGCAGCACTGTCTCAGGCACATATAAATTAAAATTATAAAAATAATTACTGACAAAATCAATCAGATTAAGTAGGTTATAAAATATGATGAATTTTTAAAACTTTTTATCCCTAAGGGTTCCTAATCAAGGAATCTATTATATTTTGTTGAATCACCAAGAATGTATATCATGGAGAAAAAAAAATCCTCCTCAATGTCCATAATTATCTCTTATGTTGCTTCTTTATTGCTTTCTATTCTTTAGCAAGAATAACTAAACAGCACTGACTTCAAATCCTATCTAATCTCAGAGGGACTGAAGGGCAGGAGGGAGGGTCAGTGGGGAGGGAGGGTGGTAGGTAAGCTCCTGGCTAGCTGAGGAGGGAGGTGGGTGATTAGGTGATAGGTGGGCAGAGAGAATAACTGAAAGGAAGACTGGACTCCACAGTCCCCACCCACAAGGCCCAAGGCAGAATCTTGACTACAGACAAAACAGCCTCCTATATCTGAGCTTTGGAAGCCAAACTGTTGTTTTTCTCCCACTTAAGGTAAATTTACTGAGGATACCCAACTCCTGAAATATGCAATACATCTACTTTTTAAATGTATAAAAACAGAAGATTTAAAATTTTACATTATTCAACTAGAATTTTCTGTAGACCCTTCAAATACACAAATGTTATCAAAATTGAAAAGAAAAGTAACAGATGACGTCGAGAATCAGGGCTGGGGTGCTGGACGCCCTGTCTCCCTCTCCGCAGAGAAGGGCTGGGCAGGCTGGGTACTGACCTGTGTGCTGCCGGCGGTGCTTGGTGAGGGCGTGCCGGGTCCCGCCGGCAAAGCCGCAGAGGTCACACAGAAACGACTTCTCGCCTGTTGCAACAATAAACAGATGAGGGACTGCAGAGGTCACAGATCATTAAAACATATCTATCAAGGCTTTCAGGGTTACTAATTCCTCCAATCAAATGTTTCCATGTAAATATGTCAAATGGGAATGAAATTACCACTGCGGTTTATTGACTGTGATAAAATCTGAAAAGCACCACTGAACATAATTACATACTTGTCAGACCCATAAAAATTAGCTTTATTATCAATGGAATGGTTTTGTACAACTTCATTTCTGGTAGATGTCTTCCAGATGGGGCTGCTTTATGCACTTGAACAGTTTTTATGCATATCCTGATTTTTTACAATTCCCATACATCTGGCCTTTCTGAGCTGAGTAAAGATTGCTTGGAATAGTTAATATACAGTCTATATGATTCTGCTTAAATAAAACATATTGAATTTTCTAACATCTTAAGGATACTGAATTGGTTTTACCTGATTCTATCAGGGTCTTCTTTAATCACTTCCTTCTTAATAATACAAAATAAATGGTTTCCTTGATCATACTGAAGACCCCAAGTAAGAATAAAATCTACTTGCTCAGTACCAATAGCAATTCAAAGCAGTTTATGTTTCTCAAACTTGCATGGCATAAAAAAGGAAGTCTAGGGATTGCTAAAGAAATTGTACAACAACTCATATTATTTACCGTTAAATGACAGTTCTGGACTGGAAACCTCTGCAACACTTAGGGACAGTTTGGAAGACTTAGTATTTGTTAGAAGTGTGCAAATGCTCATTTTTTTATTTTCGCATTTTTACACAAGCTAACATTTGCCCTACAGTTTATAAATGCAATATATCTTTCCACTGTAGCATATTTAGGCAATAAGAGCTGGCTGGCCAGGCAGTTCATCCCACAAGACTCACAAAAGAGGACAAAATAGAATAAAAATGCTAACCTTAGAGAGACTCTGTGAAATTATAAAACATTTTTCCAGAAATAAAATCTATCATTTATATCTATCTTTATCTACTTTACTCATTTAGACATTTAATGCAACAAGTCTTTCAAGGGTGTTGCCAGAGTCAGCCTGCTTTGTTCCAAAATGTTTTGGTATGCCATAATAGAAATTTGGCTTGTGGTGTTTTAGAAATAATTGCTTTTTTAAGGCTATAATAAATAATAAATATAGGAAGGCAGAATAACTTCAGCAACCAAAAATCTTCCCTTCAGAGCATTATTGGTTTTTCTAATTTAAATGAGCACATACAAAATTTTAATCAAATTGTACTTAATCTTTTTTTCAAAGGATATGTTAAAATGTTCACTATCCTTTTAAAAAGGCTAAATTTAAATATTTTCACTCATTCTCCTTTCCTATCTTTGGGTTAAGTTTATTCCTTGGTGTCATTATTTCAATATAGAAAGAACAGAGTAGATGGGCGCTGAAGAATAAAGTTTAATTATAATCACTGATTTAATTATTTAATCAATTTGAAATATATATTTTTCTAACTAGCTGTGTTATCAACCAAATAACAATGAAAGTAGACTTTTTTTTAAACCCCGAAAGACAAGCTGCTGGTCAATATTAACACGCTATTCTGTGTTGAGGCAGAGCCGTCCTCCCCCGTGTACGCATGCCCACACTTCTGTGGGCGTGGCTGCCGCGCCTGCGCAGGACTGTGTCCGCAGCGCGTTCTCGCGTTCTTGCCCGCTGCCGTGTGGGAATGCGGGGCGTTACCAGCCAACCAGCAACGTTTCTAATGAGCAAAGAGCGCTTTTCTGACTTTGGGTTTAAGAAAAGTAGTCTTCTTTTCTATCATTTGTGAACTTATTTGTGGCATGCACCTTTCTTATAAAATGAAAATATTCAGTGTAGAAAAATCCTGAGAGTTATAATCTTTATATACATGTAAGTGGGGTTATGTGTGCATATATATACACGCACACATATACATATGCTGCATATGTTAAGTTTTGTTCTCTTCCCTATTTTAAGACATTTACAGACACAAAGTTATTAATTTTTCCATGTGATATGATTCTAGAGATATTAGTGACCTTGATTTTTTTGATGTGTAGGGTTTTATTTAGGATGTTAGTCTCCAATGTATTGCATGTCATATTTACCTTGGTGGCTTGATTTGTTTTTCATTCTAAATTCAATTTTCACTTGCCTCTTTTTTTTTTTGGAGAGGGTAGGGGCTGGTTACGGTTGATGAGTGGGCAAACAGTATATTTTTTTGAAAAAAATTTTTTGAGAAAAAAAACTAAACATAATATTTCACTCAATACAGAGAGGGTTCATTTAGTATGCCATATTTATATGATAGTAGAGCTATAATGGGGGACTTCTTTTTGTAACAACTTGAATTAGTTTCAAGTGTGCCATTTTGCATTCAAATGTAGAAAGACACGGAAACTAATCCTTTATTTTCTATTAGAAAACAGCCACTGTCCCCATCTCTCATTATGGTGCAGACTACAAGACCTAACAACAAAAATCCATATTATTGATCCAGCCAAGTCTCCACAATTATTCTTTAGAAGGAAACGCCGACGATAAATTACATCTGCACTGGCTTTTCATCTGCTGTTCGATATAAGTGATCTCTCAGGGCAGGCTGGAGACCTTAAATCGTCAACACCCTTGTCAAGGAAGCTAAGGAGGCCTGGGCTTCCCACAAACTGCTTCAGAAGAACTTTTAACCTGTAATTTCTAACAATAATATAGGATTCTTGGCAACTAGAAGAACATTTGGGAATGCTGATTAAAATTTATTATTTTTTTTCCTGAAACAAAATACATTTTGAGAGGTATAAAGAGAAAGACAAAAAAATTACCGAATAGCTCACAGTAATGTAGTGATATAAGGGGAGCACTCAAATATAAGCTTCCAAGAAGTTTGGGGCCCACTAAAACAATGAAAACAAGTCATAAACATAGCACATGACAACAGGGTATTAATGGGATGCATATCTCTGAAGGCCCAAACTGACAGCTCTCAGCACCTATCACAGATGCATTCTCACTTCTGTTTTACTGTCAATTACTTTAAACTCTATAACAGTTAAATGTTTTGATGAGAAATGTATGTGAAGTTGGACTTATCGATTAAAATTTTTGTAAGTAATACATAAAACTAAGATTCAATAATGTTCAAAAGTATTATGGAACTCAGTTTATTTCATAACAAAAGGCGAGACTAGTTCTCCTAAAAAAGTTAATGTCCCCAAATAATCTTCTATAAACATATCTGAAAAGATGGGTTTAAACTCCCACAAATATATAAACATACAAACATAAATGGGCTTCTAAATATAAATTTATTTTGTTTAAACACATTTGCATACATGTGTGCATATACACACAGATAAAAATGTCAGTTTAAAATTACCCTGAGTGTCACTGAAAAGTAACAAAATGATACCGTACCTTTTAACATAGAATTGCTGCAATCTCAAAGCCGGCTAGAGGGCTTCATTTCCAACAATTCACCTCAAGATCATTAAGGCCTGTGCTCCCCGCCCCCCACCTGCCCCCAGCCCCGGGGCAGACATGCGACACACCTGTGTGCGTCCTGTAGTGGTCTTTCATGGCAGAGGCTGTGAGGAATGAGTAATGGCACGTGGGCCAGGTACATTTAAACGGCTTTTCTCCTGTGTGGAGCTTCATGTGGTTGTTCAGGGCCCACTTCTCTGTGAAACTTCTATCACATAAGTGGCATGTAAATTTCCTGCATGGAGGAGAGAGAGAACAAGGTAAATGTGGCCTGCACACTAGCACCCAAGGCCCCAGACAGAGCATGTCATAACCCGGAGTGTGGCGCGCACGCAGGCTCTGGGAGGAGAACTGCAGGCCTGGTCTGTCATGTCTGTATAACCAGGCATTGATTTTTCTGTCGAGGCCTGGCACTTCAGCCATTTATTCTCTGCTTTGCGGTTGGGCCCAACGGGTTTGAAAAATTCTGTTACAGTCCAGTCACCCCTGAGGCAAAAGTGAGAATAGATTTCACCTGTACAGGCCTACACCACTTATCCAGGGCATGGGCTGTCAGAGCAAAGGCTAAATGAAATGCTATCCATACTCAACCACTCAGACAAGCCCTGCTGCCTGGCGGGCGGCGGTGCTGCGGGAACAGCAGTGCCTCCAGAACCTCAGCCGCCACCTTGCTCCCAGGACAAGAGCAAAGCCCCAAGGTGCCTCCTGAACCCAGCTCCTTCCCTGGGACCACACCACAGAAATGTTCCCTTTGACAAGAACAAAAACAGATCGTAACTACAGATTTTATAAAACGAGTCTTTGAGAAAAATAAACCTCAATTATTGCCTATGTGAGAAAAATCTGAAAATAACAAATCAGTAGTTATACAAGAAAATATTTCCGTTTCACAGTTCATAGTTTGAGACCTTTCAATGTCTTTGGTGACCAGGGATGTGAACCACACACAAAACCTTTAGCACTTCCACTGGCTGGTCTACTGCCGCTTTTCACTTGCATTCATGTAATCATCGCCAAAATTTACTTTTTATTTTTAATACGACTGAGTTTAAAGCAATCCCTGTGACTGATAAAATACTGTCCACCTAATTAATTCAGGCTAATGAACACTCAAATAAAAGCAAATTGAAACCCAATAATCAAAATTAAAATATCTGGGTGAGTCGACAAGCACTGGGAGACTGCGGTGGCTTGGGCTGACGGCCGTGAATTCGGCCCCGCTTTCAGCAAGTCGCTGCCATCAAAAATGTAAGATTCTAATAGCTGAGTTTTAAATTGCGATATAAACAAGCAGATCTGTAGAGTGTATACTTTCGCACAGAGACTTGAGTCGTGATTTTACAAATTTCCTTAACCCCATAAGGGCCAATAAAGAATCCCATGGTCAAAATAATTAACTTTCATATTTTGAAGCAAATGTGAATTACTTTAACAAATTAATAATTCAGAGTTTCACAAATTCTTATGAATCGAATTACAATACTGCTTTTATAAAAATCCTTCTTTTATTCTATATAGTTGTTTTTATAAAGTTAGATCCTTAAATATAATAGAAATAAAAACATTAAATATTTAAGAAATGCCATATAACATATCTAAAGGGTTTCATTAATATTAAAATTGCCAGTTTATTTATTTATATAACACATGTAAAGAGATACTATATTTACATCCATTAATAACCACTGACTTTGAAATTACTATATCATTTGATCATTGCTTACTGGGACTAGAGAATGACAAATATAACTAAATACTTCGAAATGCACCGTAAAAAAAAATATCATGTCCGTATATCTCTTTGACGGGTCTTCATGCATTTAACATTTCAAAACCATGACAGGGATCTTATTTCTAAGATAAATTCCCCTATCTACTTATTTCTTCATGTATTTATTGTGGATCTAACCTTCTCCTAAAAGAAATAAATAAGGAGGTTAAGTAGATGCTATCTTTTAAAAAATAGTTTCTCCAGACTGTATTACAACTTTATGAATGACAAAATAAATCCCTCATTTTTAAATCTACCATGATGTACATTTAACAAAATTACATCTATGAAACCTCAATATATGTACTCTATTATTCATATGTAATAAAAATGTTAAACTAAAGCTTAGTGCCTGTCGTGAAATGACAAAAGCCAGATAACAAAGAACTAAGACCACCACTTGACTTTCAGAAAACCTCGTGTGTTTTACAATTTGCTTTATGAAAATAATTAAGTTCATGCACTGGTACTTTGAAAAGAACCGAACATATTACCTATGTAAACTGTCCTTATAAAGACTAAGATATACTCCTCAATGGGGTGTTTCCTGAAACTATACAAATTCTGAGTCTCAAATATTCTAAAATATTTGCCTTCTCACAAGTCAGTAAGGTCTTCATCATCACCCGAGGGATCCTGGACCCCCAGGAGACCCTCCGGAAGTCCACTGTGAGGAGGCTCCGGGACAGACCTGAGCTAAATGTGCAGTTCTACCTTGCAAGTGGTGCCCAGAAGTCGGGCAGCCGTGTGTGCTCCGCCTGGACAGTAGGAATACCCGAATGCCCACATTACCAAAACACTGCTCTAGACAGAATAGAGAGATCAAAGGGAAAGGAGTCAGATTTGGCTTTCAAGGAAATTACAGGCTACTAAATGAGAAAAATCATTCACAAAAAATAAACTCAATACCAGAAAAAAAAAACATAAAATGCCATCATAAATTTAAAAGAAGAGCAATTAACGGGGTGAGGCAGATGAGAGAAGGCGTCCCAGAGGTGGCATGTAACGCAGACATGAAAAGGTAGGCAACCACTGGAAATGCAGAGCTGGCAGGCAGGCTGTCAGTGACAGGAGACGCATAGTGGGGCAGGGCGTCCGGCAGAAGTGTGGGGCAGGGCCTCACAGCCCTGACTGCTGACTGCTGCCGCCCTCGGCACAGATTCCCTCTAGTCCCCAGGGGCAGGCAGAGCCCCATGGTTTACAGTAGGCCGGATTGGGGTGGTACACGTGCTTTCCTAACCCCAAATGGTGGTCTTCTATGAGCAAATTCTTGTTTAACTAAATTTGCAGTTTATTTAAAAAAAAGGTCTGTTTTGCAAACATTCGCTGGTGAAGAGAACGTTATAGTAGGTCAGTTAAAGGACGTACAAAGACGAGTAATTGACAATCATGGAAAGATTGTAATTGGAAAGGGTAAATAACACAAGCAAGCAAAAGAATATGATGGTATTTGGTTCACCCTTATTCTTCAATGCCCAGAAAAGTGCCTGGTGCCCAGTGGTGTTCTATAAATGATTTTAGACCAGCTGGATGAACTGAAAAGGTGGTTGAATTTCATTCCTTCTTTAATCTCACCAGACTTCAGAATCAGAATAGGAGGTGTGGACATCTCAGCAATACGAGGTTCTTCAGGCTCCACAGGGGTCCCAGTTCTCATACCATTTGGTCTTCCCTTCATCCCAGCATTTATGTTATTTACAGATTGTGGCATGTTAAAAACACAGAACAAGGAAGAGCTGTGTCCACCACTCACATTTACATACAGAGATGATAACATATTTGTTTTAGGTCTTTTTGATTCTAAACATTTAAAATTAATTACTAAAATTTTAAACATTTACAAATTAACTTTTAGAAAAACAATGACATGCTAGGCACCATAGAGTATGACATCTGTATTTGGCAGAGGCCACCTGCAGGGGGATAGCTGGGCCAGAAAGTGCTAGCAAATTAGGAATGGAAAGGGCAGTTTTTACCTTCCCCTTCCCTGAACTTTCCTACATGGTTCAACCAGATATAAAGAGATCTTAAAGGTTTCAGAAGGAAAAAGAGTCACAAGCAAATGAAATCAAATGAGTTCAAACGTCTCAATAGCAACATGAGGAATTAGAAGACAATGTAAGAATGATTTGGGCAGTTAGAGGGAAATGATTTTAAATGAAGAATGTTATTCAAAGCACTTTCAGGAATTCCTATCACAAGGTGTTTTCATGACGGAGTTCCTGGGATCGCTATCACTACTGTGCTAAATTTTTTTGAAATAAAGACCTTTTTCACACAGGTACCTGTGACATAAAACTCAATTAAAAGCTAATCTTTTAGCATAAATTTATAAGGATTCCTATTAATATATTAAATAAAGGTTTCTAAATTCTAAGCATTTTTAGTACTCTTGATGCATTTACAAGAAGTTTCTTCATTCGCTGCTCTGTGTGCTGTTTATTAGCCCTCCTCTCAACATCCAGGTGACGCTGGGCCTCTGCTCGGCCACCTGATAAATCCAGGGAGCAGAGATGCAAGACAAGATGTTCACACACGCCAAGGGACCTTCTTCTCTGAAATTCTCTCGCTCTGAGATTTCTAATAACAGAGCCAAGATTAAAATCCACATCTTAAAAATCTTAAAATCTTAAAAAATCTTAAAATCTTAAAAAATCTTAAATCCAAAATCTTAAAATTTTGAAGATAGAATGGTAAATATCTTCATTGTCAACTGTATAACAATAACTAGAAATTCTCATCTGGGCATTGCTAGGCATTACGTATAATGTTAATCTAAAGAATAAGTATGCAGCTGAATTGTGATGATGTGATTAACGGCACTATCTTAAATAGATATTTTGCCCTTAGAGAAACTCTGTTAGAGCATTTGTCTATTTTTAAATGTCTAAATGGCAGACGACTTATTGTCAAAATACCTAACTTATATTTTGAGTTGTTTCGCTAACCTTACCTTTCCATATAACTAGAGTAAGTGCCCTAAGAGAGGGTTTTATAGTCACCTTCCTCAAATTATATTTTTATACACTATTTAAAAAGCTTTAAATCCAAATAGGTGGATTACTCATTCTATTTCCTAGAAACTTAATAAAAAAATCTGTATATATCTCACTAATATATAAAGGTATTTTGATAAAAATACTTTATTACTTTGTTTGTAATAGTAAGAGGTATCATTAGTATATTTTTATGCTGCTTTCAAATCTCTCCAATTAAGGATAATGTTGGCTTATAATTTTTTTAGCAATGCTTTTTAAAATTGAACATGTCTAATCCCTACTTTTTACCCCAGAAAGTCCAGTCTATGTATATACTATTGACAAACTGTTGCACATGTACAAACATGTAAAAGATCCTCCAGTAAATTTAAATAATCTTAAATATCTATCAGGTTGGGAGTAGATAAATGATGAGTTTAGTCATAAAATGAAAATCATAATGCAGTGAAAATGAATAAAGTAGCA